AATGGTAGATGGTTGTTGCAGGTGAAATTCCTGCTGATTTGTGGATACTTTTTAAAAATTTTTTTATTGGCATCTATTGTTTATATATATATACAGAGGATCGACTGAATTTGGAGGAAGAGGTGATGAATGACTGCAGCAGTGAGCACAGCAGCTTTACCAAGACTGAAAGTGACCCCCCTGGAGACCTGTCCCTCCCTGGTATGTACACATCCGGACACAAGAGCCTATTGTGCATGCTTTGAGTGTGTCCTTTACAGAGACATTATTGTCCTGAGCGTGTGTGCACTCTTCGAAAAACATTGTTCGTTCTTTCTCTCTTGCAATTTGACAAACGCTGTGTTTCTGGCTCTCGGCCATTCAGCTCTAACCTGTGTGCCATTTATTCCTTGACTTCCTTTCCCTGCCTTCCTGCCTTCTCTCGTGGTCTTGCTCTGGGCAGCTCTAGGTCCTGATTCCTGCTCTATTGGTATGGAAGAGTAATGGGTATGTAGGCTTCTGTGTCCTTCTCTCGGCTGTTCCTCCATGTTCTTGTTCTCAGTGCCATGCAAACCTATACGGCACAAAAAGTTCTTCTCCAGTTTTACTGGTTTAATCAATCATTAAATTGTTGCTTTGACATATTTGTTCAACTTTGATGTGCCTGTTTATAAAATATGGCATGTTACATGTTTTGATATTTGTGTAGAGTAGATTTTTTTAACTGCAGTATTTGTCATTTCTGTAGGATTATCTGGCTCAACTGAAAGTCTGAACACTCAGAGTACCTGCTGCTCTAGCCAGCCTCTCCTGGGTCCCTCAAGCCATTTTCACATGGATGATGATGAACTGGATGTTTAACCCTGCCCATCTCCTTCTTTGTACAGCCCGACATGTCTCCACATTGCAGTTTGATGAACTCCCATTCCAGTATCCCACTTTGAACATGATTGACTCTTGTTCCAGGCCTTTTGTTTCTGAACATAACTGGCTGAGGCCGATGAGCTTGTTCTGGTGGTGTGTCATATTTCTTGCGCTTGGTTTTTAGGACTATTTTATCAAGCTTACTTCACCCAAAGTGATCACCCTTACGTTATTCAAACTCTGCATTACTATCTTCCATGAATCACTAAAAAAGTTGGGCAGAATGTCCAGTCTGCTGTTTTACATTCCATGAAAGTGGAAGTTGATTTTAAAGTACTTGGTAAAATAACAGCTCTGCATGATAATATTGATGTAAGCTTTATCACTGCTCTGGAATATGCATATTTATTTCCTCAAATAATGTGCCATTTCAATTAAATATTCCACTGTGCCTTCTTGTTCCTCACTTGTGAGAAGTGCATTTAAAGTGTACTTTCAAAATGAATACTATTTATGAAAGCAATATACTTTAAGAGATAATATTTCATACATCGGTGTGTACCTAATGTATCATTATGGAAAAACTGTTGTATATAAATGACATGAGTGTTATATCCTAAATGTAAGAAGTTAAACCTTGGAGTGTTTTTTGACTTATTTTAGCAGCACTTAAGCAAAATGTGTGATTTTGTCACTTCTAATACGCTATTTTTGCATGTACTTCTGATATACTTTGGTCAGTGGCACTGAAAATAAAATGTACTTCAAAGCAACTGTAATTTAGAAAAATAATTCTACTGCACTTGAGAGTGTTTTACTATTATTACCCTGCACTAGCATATACTTCTGTTGTGCAGTGCTTTACTACTGTGTACTGATACTAAAGTGCACTTCAGTACCCTTCCAGACACTTCCTGAAACATTTACTTTATTAAAAATTACTTCATTTTCTTCCCTTGATTTATTTATTTAGATATTTAAACCTTTAGTACTTATTTACAGATGCACAAAAATTGATTATACATTTTTTGGGGTTATTTTTTTTAACCTAATTTATGCATCATCTTCTATGGCAGATTCTTTAATATACATGTTTAATTAGAATAATATAACATTATAGCAGTGTTGGGTAAGTTGCTCTAAAAAATTATTAATAGATACTAATTACATCTTCACCCATGTGATTAGATTACTGCACTAATTACTCTCTCTAAATAGTATTGAAGTACTTATTACTAATTACTTTCTAAATCCTATATCAACCTTGACCAGTTGAATAGACATGAAGCTGTTCTTTTTATTCTTTCAGATGTATAATATAAAATCGCATAAATTATTCTTACATTTATATTCTTACATGTACGTACGTACATTTTAACATTAGATGCTATATTTTGATTTTAAATACACTAGGCTATTGTTTTATACAGAATTGTTCTATAGTACTCTACAGTATTTAATGCAATTACATCAGAAGTAACTAATTAAATTATTAAGTCCATGCTTGCATGGCAGAGGTGGCACAGAAGCTGCGTCTGTAATGGCATTACCTTTAGAAGTAGGCTATTTAACGCAGACTGTTTAATGCAGCTCAGGTGGGGCATGAATACACGTAAAACAATTATAAAAAAAGTAACTCCGATATTTTCTTGTAAATTAAAAAAGTAATGCGTTACTTTACTAGTTACTTGAAAAAAGTAATCTGATTACGTAACTCGCATTACTTGTAATGAGTTACCCCCAACACTGGCGACGACACTGGTGCTTTAAAAAGCAGGTAAGTTATTAAGTCATAAAATAAACCACAGACTCCATGGTCATTGTCTGAGCATGTTAGTGGAGGACCACAGAAATAATGAGTCAAACACAGTTATAAACACTTCTGATGGCTCAAACAGAAGACTATAATGCCACAGTGTTTGAGTGAGTCAGCTTGTGTTGGCCCTGAATGACTCATCCATTTGCCTCCTAATAGCTTTTAGCCTATATTTTACAGGTCAACAAGCGATTTATTATCTCTCTAAGATAATCTCAACTTCTGTGAAACACGATTGATCTAAATGATCAAATGTTAGTATGTATCAAGTGATGATTAGGCCTACTTAAAATAGCCTACTATTAAAAGACTGTCTTGTATTACAGGACTTGTAAAATATAAGGATGCCAATATAGATTCTACACTAAATAGTAGTTCAGCTGATGATTGGAATTACTCGGAGGGGTCGTTTAAAGGTCAAGTCATCTTAAATTGAAGTAGCTCCTCCTCAGATGAGGTCCAGCATTAACCCAGAGCTTCCTCTCATTGAGTCTGATGTATTGGAAGGTAAAGAGCTGGATTCATCAGGCTTCAGCCGGTTATTGAACAGTAAGTCAGTAGACTAGATATATTTAGTTTGTCAGATGGCATTAACACCTTAAGCACAATACTGGGAAGTCTGAAAGCTCCTTAAACTGTGTATTTTTGAAAAGGAAGAGTCATTGGACAATAATGAACAGCAGAGTGTAAAAAAAACATGTAAATGTTTAAGCCTCATGCTGTGTTATCAAATAATTACTAATCTATCACTGACTGGACTATACTATATGCTAAAGGTAATACATTCTTCTCCAAGGGAATAATTTTATCACTAAATAGGTTGTAAAATGATCTTTAAACTATATAAAAATGGGACTGTACAAAAACAAAGGATGTTCAAATAAATGCAATCAATAAATGAAGCAAGCAGTATTCAAAATAAACAATGAACATCTGAATGATATCCTTTGCATAATGAAATTGATAAATTAAGCAAAATGAACACTGGTGATGATTTCAGAGTAATTAAAACATGAAACACAATGTGATGTACTTTAGAAATGCTGAGTAAATAAAGGACAAAAACACATATACGTCTAATTTTCTTGCTCGTTTAAACAGAAGGCTGGGTTACACAACAACTAACCAACACTGAAAATAAACCAATAAAATGACACACTATTTGGCTAGAAAATATACTATCCATAAATCTATATAGAGACTATATACAGAATCACACTTGATGTGGCAAGTTGAGCGGATGTTTAGGTAAATGTAAACCATGTTATTAAAAACAAAATGTATCAATATTAATATTTTTTCACATCACAAAAGGGTTAGACACCTAATTAAACTTTAGGTGTCTAACCCTTTTGTGATGTGAAAAAATATTAATATTGATACATTTTAAATTATTAATATGAATAAATATCAAAACATGCACAGCACTGTTCAAACGCCTGGGGTCAGTAATATTCTTTTAAAGAAATGTATACTTTTATGAATCAAAAGTGCATCATAAGCAGCTCAAATGTTTTCAACATTGATAATAATACGAAATGTTTTACAAATCAGTTTTACCATCACAAATTAATTTATATATTAAGTAGAAAAAAGTTATTTAAAAATGTAATTATATTTCACAATATTATTGATTTATTGTGATTTTGATCAAATAAACACAGCCTTGGTGAGCATAAGATATCTTTCAAAAAACATTAAAAATGACTGATTCCAAACGTTTGAACTTTAGTGTATGTCATACCAAATCAATTAATTTGACTTTAAAAAAAAATATTGTTTAGGCTAGTCTGAAAAAGTTGGGTATTTATTTACAGTACTATTTTTTATTCATTTATTTATTTTTTACAATTGGTGTCCAATAAAATACTGTAAAAACACTCATCTGGATAGGCAACAAATGGGTTACTTATATGCTACTTTGTAATTTGTAAATACTTTGTACTTTGCTAGTTGTGATTACTTTTATTTCAGTTAAGGGTAGTTAATAATTCATACTAGTTAAATCTGTATTTTGATTAAATATAAATGCAGTTGAATGGTAGTGTAATGTGCAATATGTATTGACAAATTGATGAAAACCCAATGATTTTGGAAATGTTACACCATTGAGTGAAATTTATACAATGAGATTTATACGCCACTTCTGTTAATTGACCCAGTGGGCTTATTTTTCAGCCGATGCTGACAATCTCAAAATGGCATATTGGTATGTAGTTCTCAGTGTCCTTATTCTCTTACTAAGTACCAGCTTGCTGAATTTGGTAACACCAAATACGTAACAGGGCTACCAGGGCTGGCGTAAACACTACAAAGCTTTCTTTAGCTGTACAAACAGTTTCTGGGTGAGCGTTAGGAGCTGCGCTGTGAGTAGGCTATTAGCACAGAGACTTTTAGGAAATTGCTGCAGCTTCACCTGGCACGTGCGCACAGTACTATCCCTCTAAAGACGGGACACTTTAGCAGATCTGGGCGGGCCGGGACAAAGAGAGGGACGAGGGGGAGGGTTAAAGAGGAGGAGAGGTGACAGCGACGGGGTAGAGTGTTAGGATTCAAACACATCAGACCGCAGAAGAGAGCCACCGAACAAATCCACTGAGGGAAAGCCAGCAGTGTCCGCAAACTTTGAAGTGAGAGAAAACTAAGAGCTGAAGAGGTATTTCAGACAGCACTGTCCTCCAGCAGTCAGAAGTGTGTGTGTGTCAGATGATGGCACCGCAGGTCGTCAGCTCACCCTTCCTGAAGCCATTCTTTCTGAAGACGCCGCTGAGCGTGGCCAGTTCTCGACGGCAGCGACGACACACGTTACCTGCTAGCGAGTTCCGGAATCTCACCCCACAGGACGCCATTAGTGTGTTTGAGATAGAGAGAGAAGGTAAGATGTTTTGCACAGACGGTGGGGTTATATTGGGGTGCTGCAAATAGATTTACCAAAATACAGAGCCAGAAGTACCTAACTATTGTGCAGTGAGTGTCAATAATGTGAAAAATGTTTTTAGATAAAAACACATCTAGTTTTAGTTGTCCTGAGTGTGTCAGCAGATGCTGAATGTAGTTTAAGCAGCTCTAACACACTTGATCCCTCGCTGAAGGCATTTCTCTAGGAAATCTGATGGTTGGGTTTAGGTCAGATTTGTGGGCAACAGGTTGACAACGTAAATACTTATTTAGCTATCTACCTTATTTATTTTTATTTCAATTTCTGTAAAGTTTTGGCAATTTGTATGTACTGAAGTACACCACCTTTCAAAAGTTTGGGGTCAGTATTTTTTTTTTTTTTATATTATAAAATAATTTAAAATGTATGAAAATAATACTTTAATTCAGAAAGGATGAATTAAATGCAGTAAAGACATAATATTACAAAAGATTTGTATTTTAAATAAATGCTGTAATTTTGAACTTTCTTTTCATCAAAGAAGCTTGAAAAATGATATCATATAGCACAACTGTTTTCAACATTGATAATAATAATAACTGTTTCTTGAGCAGCAAATCAGCATATTAGAATGACTTCTGAAGGATCATGTGACACTGAAGACTGGAGAAATGATGCTGAAAATTCAGCTTTGCTATCATGGAAATAAATACAATTTTAAAATATATCCAAATAGAAAACACTTATATTAAATTGTAATAGTATTTTGCAATTTCAATTTTTAATTGAAAATAAAATAAGTTTAAAGTAAGTCATGATATTATTATTTTTTATTATTAAATAAATGCGGCCTTGGTGAGCATAAGAGACTTCTTTCATAAATGTTTTTGAAAATTATTCCGACTTTTGATTGAAAGGTAGTGTATGTCATATCAATAATGCAAAATTAATTTGAAAAGAAAAAATGGTTTAAGTTCATTTTACATCTGGTGCCCCATAGAATACCATAAATAATAAAATAAGACTAAAATAAGACAAATGGTAATTTACACCATGTTTTATAATTGTGATTGCTTTTCTTTCAGTTAAGGGGAGTTGATAATTCATACCTGTTAAAAAAACTAAACTCTTTAAGAACTTCCCAAGTTCTAGAAGACTCTAGTCAACATGCAGATCTGATCTGTGATAAACCTGAGAATCCGCCGATAAGCTCTTGTTTGCATTGGTATAACAGGGTTGACTCATCCCTGTATTTTTCCCTCTGCAGCGTTTATCTCTGTTTCTGGTGAATGTCCACTCACCCTTGATGAGGTGCTTAGTTTCCTGGGCCAGTGTCCTGAGCTCTCGATGGGATGGTTTGAAGAGGGCCAGCTGGTGGCTTTCGTCATTGGATCTGGCTGGGACAAAGATAAATTAAAACGGGTGAGAAACATGGTTCTTTATTAAAGAAACCTGTTATCATGTAGATCAAGAATATCACCGTAAGTTCACATTCTAACCCTCTTTTGACCATCTGATCCAGGAGGCCATGACCACACACGTCCCAGACTCTCCCACAGTTCACATCCATGTGTTGTCTGTGCACCGCCACTGTCGGCAGCAGGGCAAAGGCTCTATCTTGCTTTGGCGCTATCTGCAGTACCTGCGCTGTCTTCCCGGTCTCCGCCGAGCCCTGCTGGTCTGTGAGGAGTTCCTGGTGCCCTTCTACCAGAAAGCTGGCTTTAAGGAGAAGGGTCCCTCGGCCATCACTGTGGCGGCTTTGGCCTTCACAGAGATGGAGTATCAGCTTGGAGGCCTGGCTTATGCACGACGAAACAGCGGATGTTAGTTTCTTTAGCTCATGAAATCCTGATTCAGGACACCATGTGTAGATTCTGGATGGCTCTTGGCAGTCACAGGCTTAAAGCCCTACTACCACCTGAGCAAGGAACCAGAGACTTACCTATGCACTCATTTACAGAGATCGAAGCAGTTACATTTGGGTATATGAAGGCTAAAGATGTTGGTTGTTTACAGCATTTTTTTTTCTCTTGTACTGCCCAAGATACACTGCACACTTTACTGGTCAAAACACAGTGGTTGCTTTTAACAATTAATAAAGAGATTTTTTTATTTTTTGGGGAAAAAAATCACCATATTCATCAAAAACTTTTAATTTGATCAGTCAAAAATAATTTTCTTTCATTTTTTTAACATTTAACATTAATAACATTATTTTGATAGAAAAAAATTCAAACATTCAAAACATTAGGTCAGAAAAATAAAAAAATGTAATTGAACATTTGAGAAAAAAAATCTTATTTTTTTTTTTTTATAACTTTCCATCCCTTGGAAATGTTAAATAAATTGTTGTAGAATTCCTAATATATTACTGCATTTGTGATAATGTGTTTTGGAAATGCGAAATATGTATACAGTGTATGAACTGATGTAAACTTTAATTAGAATGTCCATAAACGTTCTCTGTGGCATTAGTCACTATCATGCATATCTAATCAATAAAAAAATCTAATAACAAAGCTATATTTTTGTATTTTCTATGCATTTCAGTAACACTTTACAATAAAGTCCCATTAGTTAACGTTAATTTTTAGCTCATGTCCATAATATTGACAGTTAAAACTTTTGATTTGAATCATGTATTAGTAATTGTTGAAATTAACATTCACAAAGATTGATTAACGCTTTAGAAGAATTTCTCATTGTTACTGTAGTTCATGTAAACTAATGTTAACAAATGGAACCTTATTGTAAAGTGTTACCAGCATTTCTTTGGGTTTATGGATACAATTTATTATCCTTCGTACCATCTTAAATTTAGTTACAAAACTGGTCAGACTGGTTTAGTATAGAAGTCTGTTTCTGCCTCAGAGTTATAAAAAAAGTGAGAAAATTCACATCGCGATATACTCTTACTGCGAGATGTACCGTCGCAATTATGAAAAATAGTCACATTGTGAGATGAAGTCTCAACTATGGGAAATAAAGTCACAATTGTGAGATATTGAGATAGTTGCAATTATGAGAAAATTGTCACATTGCAAGTTCTAACATTGCAATTACGAGAAACAATATCACAATTAACATCTCACTTACGAGAAAGTTACCGTTTTATTTATTTATTTATTTTACTCTGAGGTGGAAATGGGCTTCCATAGTTTAATACTAGTTTAAGGTCTAGTAGACAAGAAAAACAGACACACTTCAGAGGTGCAGGTTGTTTTTAGCTGTATTCTGTAACAAGTGAGTAAATTGGGTAGCTAAAACACTACCCTTTCATAATCAACCATTACTCCATTAGAAGTAACACACAAATAAAAGAATATCATTTGAGTGCTCAACGTGTCACGAAAATATGGCAGTAGTAGGTACATTTATAAAGGCACCAAAGGTACAGAGTTTTTTCGTCCCTGGATTCTGAGGTCGACTAAACAAAGACAAACCTACCCCTGACATGCTAAAACATAAAAAAGTACAACAATCAAATTGAAGACGTGTTCTCCTTTTGGTGTACCAGTGCTTTTATGATGACACTGCCTTCTGAGACTGTAGTGTAAAGTAAGTTTTCGGGTGAGGGTGACCCTGTTTTTGTATGATTATCAGACACCCTTATCAATAGACTACATAAAACTTTAGAGTACGTTAAAAAGCGTTCTTCAATCTCAAGAGTCCTAAAATCATGGTCAAGAGTTGGAGATCCAACTTACACTTGAGTAAAAAAAACAACAACAACACAAGCATAATGTCCAAGTTCACAGAAAGGGCTTCATTTGGGGCGAGACGAAGTGCAACTGGATGAACACTGACAGCTGGGGACTGGCAGATGCAGATCAATGACCAATCGAATTCCTCTGTCCCCGAAGCCCCGCCTCGCCCTCAATGGAGGTGCGCATTGAGGTCGTACTTCTCACAGAACTTGTCGGTGAAAGGAATGCAGGTGAGCAGCTCGCACCACTCACACTTGATGGGATACACGTAGAAAAGCACCACGAGTCCCGCGAACAGGCCCACGAACACCACCAGGAAGATGATGATCTGGCAGCGCTTGCGGTACATGTCCAGGCGGCCGAAGCTGATGTATGGCAGGAAGGCGAAAGAGAGGAAGAAGCCCGAGATGAATCCGCAGATGTGGGCGAAGTTATCGATCCAGGGCAGCAGGCCAAAGGCGAACAGAAAGAGCACCACGCACAGTAGCTTAGTGAAGGCCCGCCACGGCTGAGCCAGAATCTGCCAGCTCTGAATCAGCTCCACAAACAGACAGGCCAGGATACCGAACTGAGAGCCAGCCGGACCCACCTAGAGTGACATGGAGACAGCAAAAGAGGCACAAGCTCAGTGCCAGAGATACAAGAGTAAAATACCCCTTTTCCACCAACATGGTGCTGGTTCTCTTAGCCCAGGGTTATCTTAAACTCAGGTTCACAAACCCCTGGTGGATCATGAGGGAGTTGACGACAAGCTAATAATTCAGTTATAAAAATGTACAAAATAAATTATTATTTAAAATAAGTCTAAAATAAAAACAATACAAATATGGAATATTTTTTCTTTTACCATGTCATGTGACCAACACAAATGTATTTTTAATTTTACTGTGTTACTTGCCATTTCATTGTAATTATTTGTGAAATTTACTAGCAATTTTTAAGTGAAAATGGTTTCTACACTATTTTTTTAAAGAACTGTAAATGTGAATGTGTTGTTAAATTATTTAAATAATAACTTAAAATCTCAGAGTGCGCTTCAAGAAAATATTTTATAATATTTTAATAGTTTGGCTGACAAAAATTTTGGGAAATCATGTCATAGCCGATGCTCCTAAACAATGACATCAAACAGCTCCCAAACAACTGTCACACTGACAAAAAATATATAAAAAATTGGTGGATTGTAGAAACAATATTTTTTTTTGTAAATTTCAGAAATAATTACATTGAAACAACAAGTAACTCATTGAATTAAGCGTGAAATTGTGAAGTAGAAAAGCTGAGATAGTATTTTCTTGTAAATAATCTTTGTTTTTTACAGTGCGTGTGGGTCAATGACAAAGAATGACGCCCATGATAAAGAAAAGGAAAAATCATTCAAAAATCCAGTTTAAAAAACACGAGTACACCGTTTATTCATATGGCTTTGAAAAACCTTTATGCCATTTTTGAAAAATTTTCAATTTAATTCTATTCAAAGAAAGTGGATTCAAATGACTGTATGTATAAATAGCATTTTTTACTATTAGTATTTAAACAGATGAAAAATAAAGCAGTTGTAGCCACTGTGCAACCCAAAGTACACAGGATATCCATCAAATCCACGTGTGTCACATCACCACATTGAGCATTTGGGGTTTAGATAGCTTCACTGATTAAAGTGAGCAACCTAGTTTTCCGTCTGTCTAATGTTAGCGATTTCTAGTTCTAGACCAGCAGGTTTTAGGGGCCGGTTGTGGCACCCTATCGGCGCAAAAGAGGCAAGATGGGTCAAGCGGGCTCACCTCAGCTCTGTAGGGGAGGAAGATGGCACTAGCCAGGTTTCCTGTGATGCCACTCAGGATATAGATGATAGATATTCGTAGCCATCCAGCCAACTTCTCCAGGTCTCGAAGAATTGTCATCTGAAAACATACCGACACCAGGCAATGCAGAATCCTGTTTTTAACAGATGGGAACAGAGAGAACTTTTCAAGCATGTTGTTTATTAGCTGCTATGACATCTTTATGGATTTGAATGCATATTTTTCATTCCCAACACACCACAACGTTCTGACATGGCTACAGCGGTCATAAACATTCCCTTCATACAACATATGATGCCAATGATGTCCAAACAAACCACCGCCTGTGTCATAATTACACTTCTGTCAGTTGTCTCATAAAAATGTGGCAAAGGCATGTCACAACAAGAGTCTCCACAAATGCTGTTATTATAAAATGCATTGTGCAATGGCCACCAAACACGAACAAATATGCAACAGTAACCACAACAATCCAACTTCAGCAGGTTCAAGGACGTTTGAGAGTGTGATGATCAAGGTGTGGGACAGAGGCACGTGCAGAAGCGTTAATCTACTGAGCCTTCTTAAGGAAGGCAAAGAGCCAAAGTGCAGCTCAGTGAAGCACTCTCTTTGATTACTACTACAGATCACACCATACTAAATAGCAGCATCTTCTCCAAGTGTCAGCTGTTTCTTAAAGCAGATAATCTTGTGTCAGCCTTTGAAGCATCTGAGATAAACAGTGCAGTATGGGATATGGTGCTTATGGGTAGAGCATTCCAGCATGTGTGCGTAATTAAAACACAAAGGAATTTTTATAGCTTATGGGTTATTGTTTCATAGCTCAGAAGATTTCTTTGTTTCGTTTGAGTATGAACTATCAAATAGAATAGAGAGAGAGAGAGAGAAAAAAAACTGAAACTCCTGAGGCAATTGTTGACAAAGTAAGAGTGAGAGTAGAGCTGTAAAAGGAATATTGACTGCATAGCTCTAACAATTTGGTCTGAAACGATTTTGATGAGAAATTGAGTTCATAATATCTTTGAATTGTCACTGCAGACTAGTAATTTGGCAGTCTGAGCAGTTTAAGGCAGACATTATTTAATATCTTCTGAAACTCTCGAGGAGACGTGCATTATTATATACCAATATCTGTATTGTTGCATGGGCGAGTGAAATATGCATGATTGGATATGCTGCATTAAAGTGAAGCAATGGTCTTGGCGTGAATATCTGCAATGTTTCGCTTTTTTGCTTCACCCGAGGTCTGACTAAATGGTGTGGGTTTGTCAATTTTTGCCTTTTCATTTAGCTATTGGTGTGAATAAACCTGTAATAGGTGATTTTCTGCTTGTCGTTTTGTTCTTGGTCTGAACAGACCTTTCGTTTGAATAGTTGAACTTTTTTTTTTGTTTGTTTTGGTGTGATGAGTCTGTGACCATGTTGTCTGTGATATTTTCATTTCAGTTTTGCCCTGTCTGCAGTGTTTCACTGTTTTGGTCTGGGGTAAACAGACATTTTGTCTGCAGTGTCCTAGGTATGAATGATGTGCATTTGTAAATTTTTGTTTCTCTGATGGTGTGAACAGACATTTTGTTTGCAAATTTTTGCCTTTTCATTTTGC